TGTGCTAGGTTGTTGATCATGTCATCGATCCGAGGAAGAGGGTACGCATCAAGCTCTGTGTATTGATTGATGGTTTGAGAGTAATCAATACAGAGCCTCTTCTTGTGCCGGTTTGAGGGATCTTTAGAAACAACAATTTGTGCTCTCCATGGTGTTATGGTAGGCTCAATAATTCCTTCAGACAGGAGTTTTGTAACTTCCTGATTGATAAACTCCTGGTCTTCTTTGCTAAAGCGCCTAGATCTACTGGCGATAGGCTTACATTCAGGGAGAAGGTTTCCAAACAATGAAGGCTCCTCGATGGAGGCTGTCGAAGAAAGAGGACAGGCAGGCCTAGGAATTACTAGTTCTGGTCTAGTACTGCCAAACTCTATGGTGACCCGCTTGTGCTTCTTCTGGAAGTCTTGCCCAAGGATAATGTCACTACAGAGATCTTTCAAGACTCCCAAACGAATGGATGAGTAGGAAAGTTGATTAATTACAATATCCGTAAAACAGTGACCAAGGATCTGAGTCTTAAAAGATGTTAGGGCCATAGATATCTTCTGTGTTGATGGATGAAGCTTGAGAGACAGTTTCCTTGCCATAGTTTCACTTATAAAACTTTCCGAACTCCCAGAGTCAATGAGTGCGGTCAGTTCAATACCGCCAATAGAGACTTTTACAGATGCTTGTTTTAGACTTTCTGGACAACTTGCAACAATTCAACAAAGAGTAGGCGTGAACATAGAAGCAGTGGTAATTGAAGGCGCCTTTGACTTGCAAACTTTAGCATAATGTCCTTTCTTTCCACAGTTGTTACAATTAGAATTCCGGGCTGGACAACTTCTTCTGTTGTGGAGATTATCACCACAAAAGTAGCATTTCTTCGATGTGAATGTAGCTGCTAGAGAATCATAATCTAAGGCATGAGCTCCAGCAACCTCATCTGTCGGAGGGGAGGAGACTGCTGCAGTTGTAGGTATTTCAGGCATCCTATATGCTTCAGAATTCTTTTGAGCCAAGTCCAAGGCATTTGCTTGGTCAAAAGCAGTTTGAAGGTCGAGCTGTTTATTTTCTAGGAGCCGTTGGCGAATCAAAGGTGATAAGAGGCCATTAATAAAGGAATCACGAACCAATTCCTCACGATACTGTTCAGCAGTTACGTTCTTAAGGTTACAATCTTTGCTAAGTTTTCGAAGTTCTTGGAGAAATTCAGTAAGAGTCTCGCCGGATTTCTGCCGTCTTGTTGCCAGCAAATGTCTAGCAAATATTTCATTTGGTGTCTTGACAAATAGTTGTTCTAGTACGCGAATGGCCGATTTATAGTCCTTGCAGTCTTCGATATATTCATAAACGTTAAGAGACACATAATTTACAAGAGTTCTATATTCATCAGGAGCCTTTTCGCCACATTCATCATTGAAACAACTGTCCAGATTTCATTGAAAAGAATTTTTTTGAAGTCAAGAAGATTGTAAGGAAATTTGAAGGTTGATAGTTAGCAAAGTCGAAATACATTTTTTTTGCTTGCTGTCATGAAGTAAAATACTCATAAATAATCCATGCTTTCTTGTGATATTATGTTATAATATATAATTAAAACCACCAAAACTCCTGATGATGATACAGGCAATGGTCTTGATGATGATACAGCCAATGGTGATAATAATGACACTGTAGTTCCCATTTGAGTGCATACTGATAGCATTAAATATCAGAGAAGCTGACACTTAGACTTTAATTTATAATTAAATAACCCTGTTAACTGTTAAGAAATTGAACAGTATAAGTTCCTTTTAGGATTCTAGTATATTAGACATAAAATGCGATGGATGAAAATGCTTGACCAAGAGTAAGTCTTAGAGTGATGTTGGGTCTGGCCCGGGAATACGAAAAGCCAACTAGTTAAGTATCCAGATTTGGGATACTGGATTATCGGGAGGGATAGCAAATTTTAAAACCTTGGTATCCATGTGGATACTTAAAAAAAATCAAATTTCAGACCCTGGGGACATAACCAATAACCATCAATCTATTAGACATTATAAATAATTAATGAGAGCATAACCATTGATAACCTCCTGATAACCAAAGTAATGAGCAAAATTTCATGGATGACACAGAGAATATGTTGTGCAGGTCCAACATTACCGAGTCATCAATAGCACAGTATAAATAATAGAGAAGATGATATGCTATATAGATGTACTTTAATTGGTTGTGATTTGGTTTTTGCCAGAGTGGTAATAATTTTGAAATACACTTGCACACCAAATAATAATTATGATACAAAAACAGCTTCATAGTTTTGCATCAAATATAGCATTTTTCTTTATCGATTTTACTCCGAATGTTTATAAATACAATATTTGTACAAGTGAAAGCTTTGTACTCACATACTTTTGGTAGTTAACATTTGGTTTATTTAATCTATTAAAAACCTTCCTTTTTACTTGTCAATCTTAGGAACAAATACAACTTAATAGTATATGCACACGCCTAGCTATTGATGGTCTGCAATCAATCCCTTGAGATTTACAAGACAAAGACATGGCGGCCATCTTGGAGGAAAACACGCTCCAAATACAATAGCTGTTAATGAATTCTTTTGTTAGTTTTCCTCCAACATGGCCGAAAATGCTTTCCTAAAGCCTGTTTCACATATGCCTGCGACTGTATCATCATGCTTCTACTTGCCGCCGAAATACCGGCAAAGTTGAACTCAAGTCAACTTTCCCGGCCTACCGCCGATGTAACTGAGGCACTGGCGGCAATCGGCGACAAATGTTCACATAATTTACGTTTTAAAGCTAGCATCGGTATCGTCGTCGGTACGTCGCAGGCATATATGTGAACCAGGCTTAAGTGGTTATATTGCTACCTGAAAAAAAACTAGCGGAAACTCGACGTTTCGAGCGAAGGCCCTTCGTGGGGTATTCTACGATCATCAATTGCAAACCAAGAATTGAGCTGCCCTATCGTTTGAATGCCTACCTGCACCCTTCATTTCAAGACCAAACGCATCTGGAAAATAATCCACTAAATCTTGTTGTCTTTCACAGCTATTGACTAAATCTGAACCATCTAGCACCACAGCGTCACGATAAACTTTGACTTTTAAGCTACTCTGGTCTTTTAACGGTGGTTTCCAACCATCAGCTGCATGCAGAATAAGACGAGCCATGGTTTCATTCACTTTTGCACCGCGATAATTCACTGTGCCATCTGGCATAACTTTTCTATCATAAGTCCCCAACTTTGCGGAAACGACAACATCGCCAAGTTTTGTCTTCTTAGGTTTCTTGCTTGCACAGGTACCGACAAAAAAGACTTTTTTTGGCTTTAAAATTTCAGCAGCATCTTTCAGAGCTAACCGACCCTCATCCGATCCCAGTTGACATTTCAGCAATGCAACTTTCACATTCTGATCACCCTTATCGCCAAATTGACCAAAATATACACATCTATGTAGCTCTTCACAATAACCTCGTTCGACATGTGTCATGTATGAATAGCAAGCATTGAATTCATGATCATTTGCTGTTATTAGCAGAATATATGTCGGTAGTTGTGACTGAATCTCGGCACTTGACCAGTCATGTGGTTTGTTATTAAAGTCACTCTCTGTTTTGAGAGTGAAATTGAGTTTTGGCGGATTCATTGCTTTCGCAAGGCACACATTATTCTTACCGTCGTTATGTTCTCGAAGAAGGCGTCGACATGAAAGATCTTCCCGAATCCCGCAATGCAATGCGGCTTAGCCTGCGAACAGGCTCACTGGGAGAAAGGTATTCTTCGCGCCGCCCGCAACCCAGGGCCTGTTCGCAGGCTAAATGCGGCTGAAACATCACTGAGCATCCTCGTACCCAGGCCCAAGCTCGAGCGGCCCCAGTAAACTCAATAACAATCTCTAGAGGGGTCTGGGGGCATGCCTCCCCCCAGAAAATTTTGAATTCTTGAAGCTCAGATAAGCTATTTCCAGCATTTCGAAGAGTTTTTCAACATTAAAAAATTAACCTTATAAACAGTGACACAATTACTGAAATTTCACAGTCTCCCAAATGTAATGAACGGTGTGGTGATGCGGTACAGTAATGAAAATCAGAAAATGTGCGTGGTATAGTATTATCATTCACCACACTTCAAATTCTACAGTATTGTATTACATGTATTGGGGCACTTGAAATCGACGCATTCGTCTTCTCAGTGTCACTGAAGAGCAAGATATGGTGGTCTCTTTGGAGTATCTTTACTTGGACTGAAAACTAAACATTGTCCTAAAATGCCATTTCATGCCTTGTTCCACGAGCAAATGATTTCAGTCATGGTTCAGTCCCCAAATTCCTACCGAGTTAACGGACTCGGTTGACCCATAGCTAGTTACGGGGCTGCAGATAATGGTCAAATTCAGAAATGTTAAAGGTGATCTACAGTCCGTATGTAAACAAAGCCTTTGTTTACATTTTTGTGTCCAAAATATTGAGCTTTATTCGACAACTATTTATATTTTCAAGCTTCTAGAGTATAATAAATGATCAAGAAACAACAATCAGGCTTTTCAAGAACTCAAAACATAGTTAAACTGTTTGTATCATAAAAAGTGGGCTCATTTGTGCACATGCGCAGATCGGACTGTAGATCACCTTTAACAACTTAACATCATTTTCTCACTTTGATACATAATTGCGGCTCCCTACACTGTTCCAATATATGTCAATGTGTTAAACTAAAACCTATTTAATTAATTTGAATTAAAAAAAACTAATTTTTTGCACAAGCCATTGTTTCCACTTATATAAAAGAGTAATTTTAGCCCACAATCGCTACTCTTCACGTTACCATGACAACATGACGTCATCATCAATATGGCCTATATCAACAAAAAAAGCTGTCTTAGCGGACAAATAACTACGGTGACCTACCTTTTTTATTGCAGAAAAGACATTGTTATGAAGTTTTGAATCTTTTTTGAAAGTTATTTGAAAATCGCCAGTGTAGTTTTCGAGAAACTAATGCCTTTGGAAAGGCTGAAATTCAGTTTCTCGAAAACTACACTGGCGAATTTCAAATAACTTTCAGAAAAGATTCAAAACTTCATAAAAATGTATTTTCTGCAATAAAAAAGGTAGGTCACCGTGGTTATTTGTCCGCTAAGACGGCTTTTTTGGTTCGGATATAGGCCCGGCATAGTGACGTCATGTTGTCATGCAAAAAATTAGTTTTTTTTAGATACAAATTAATTAAATAGGTTTTAGTTTAAAACACGGACATATATTGGAAACTGTAGGGAGCCTCCTTAACCACCTACTGCAGGTAGTTATTAGGGACCTCACTGGCGGGGACAAAATTTCCGACTGGAGGGGCCAGTAAGAGGGCTGGGGAGACATGCCTCCCCCAGTCTCGTTCGATATCTTTCTCAACACTCGAAATAAATTTCATTTATTTTTTTGCGGTCCGGTATGCGGTATCCATGCTTTTTAGCCAATCAAATTGCTTCGTTTGCTGTCCGGTTTTTCACGATACGGACCGCTCAACCGGACCGCTGCGGATTTTAAACTTAAAGTAAAAAAATAGGTACGCACTGCGTACATGTTGCATGCCATTTGAAACTTATGATCATAGATATCTTATATAAGATATATATGCTTATGATGCGCTATAGCGCTTATAACCTTTGGTACAACTGGCGTGAAACTTATCGATTCAATAAATTTAATATCAATATATTTATGTCAAAATAAGAAAACTTAAGGCTCTCACACGAATTTGCCTACGGTGTAGACCCCAGCAGAAACACGCAAATATAGACAATGTTTTTTAAGCGACCGTTAATAGTTAGTTCCAAGCAATGGTAATAATAACATTAAAGGGAGTCAAGGGACCCTACAGTCATTTTTTAGTCGAAAAGCCACCTTAAAGGGGAAGTCAAGTCCGTTCTGCGCATCGGTTCTGCGCATAACAATAGAGGGCCCTCTGAGGTAAACATTGCCCAAATTTTAAATGTTTCGAATTTTTCTGAACACAAACTCTATTTCATATTCATGTAGAAGCATAACGAACCAAAATGGTGTTAGATATTCAGACAGTACATCATATTTTAAAAAATACAGCAGTTCAAAATGTAAACAAACCGTTTGTTTACATTACGGACTTGACTTCCCCTTTAAGTAGGGGACTCCACGGAGATTCGTTTGGCTGTATCTTACATGCAGTATCCATGAATATGAGTACTTCCGCACACCGGAAGACAATACTTACTTGACTAAAAAAAGACTGTAGGGCCCCTTTAACAATGTCAAGGCGGGTCAAGGTTTTATCAAAATGCGCGAATCAAATCGAAACCTTGACATCCTCCCCCCGGGCATACCCCCGGGAATTTGGATTTTGACGTTTTGGTCAGGTCAAATTCCCTACATATATTTGTAATTCCCGTTCAAATACACCACGTATTGGGAAAAATTGGAGTTCAAATACCCCACCCCATGTACGAATTGGAAGCTACAGTATTTCGCAATTTTGGAATTTCAGAGTTTTTCTTTCCTTCAAAAACTCTCTTCAATCGTTCAAAGCCGTTTTCTTGTAGCCAACCAAGGACAAAGTTAATTCCTTTGCACTTGAAGACCTTGAACTCATCCATTAATCATTGACGCGATTTTGGATTCTGCACACGTGTTTAAAAGAAAAATTCAAATTCCCGACCCCCTTCAAATTCCCCACCTTCCACTAGGAAAAAAGGTCAAATTCCCGCCTTCTTAAAATACTAAACAAGCAAATTCCCCAGGTATGCCCGGGGGGGGGGATGTCAAGGTTTCGATTTGATTCGCGCAAAAGCGATTGACTGTTAGATTTACTTTACAAATTAATAACTAAATAACGTTATTTCCTATAGATATAGCTTTATTGTAACTCTTTAATGGGTATAAAAAAACGTGGAAACGGTGAATTACTACAATAGATTGAAAATGATTATAGTATTACTATTTATCATTTTGACGTTTGAGTGATTGAAATGAGTTAATTTGCACTATATCGAATGTCATGTTGAATCTTATGCGTACTTCACAATGGTTGCTATTTCGTTGTAGTTTCAATCTCGATTTCAATTGTATTACTATTTATAATTTAAATTGTATTTGATATTTATATTTCATGTTGTTTACAAAATGTGCTGTAGTTTTGAAGCTTTGCACACAATATTATCAGGGCGAGCACAATGGCTCCGTTTCAGTTTGAGTATATAAAAATCGAGTATTTTGGTAGCGTTCGCGGCTTTCGATTATTGTATTACTATATTTATAATTTAAATTGTGTTTGATATTTATATTTCATGTTGTTTACAAAATATGCTGTAGTTTTGAAGCTTTGCACACAATATAATCAGTGCGAGCACAATGGCTCCATTTCAGTTTAAGTATATATAAAAATCGGGTATTTTGATAGCGTTCGCGGCTTTCAGTTTTCACGATATATAAATATAAACGCGTGATAGTTGACAAATAATCAGTGCGAGCACAACGGCTCCAAAATCACAACAAATAACAAAGTTTAAGGTAAGTTATAAAAACAGTAAAGCTTTACCTACCTCGATTTATTTTTCTAAGGCGCTCGATTATGTAAATTTTCGGCGAATAATCATCAAAATATAAATTTTCTTTGCGTGTCCTCGACGAAAACCCGGCATGAAAATGCTCGTCGGAAACTCGGTATTTGTCGTATTTTACGAATCTGCCACGTGACTGCTACGCTCACCGACATCATAGTTGATATAGACTAACCGGGTTTGGAAGGCCGGCAAACTTCAAAGCAACACGTGATCAAATGGGATATCATGTTACAAAATACGTCACGTGACAGCTTATAGTGCATTCGAGCTGTAATTTATAGTAGAAACTTATAGAAAATAGAGGGATCTTTGACTAAAATCACCATTTTCTCGTCACATACGAGGTCTATGGAGCCAAGCGGCATTGAATACATGGGGATGGACGAAGAGAGTTCTTTGCTATTTTATGAAGGCAATGAAGCCTATAGTTCGGATTTTGAAGACGATTTTGAGCAAACTCTTGCTAATGCTTGAGATACCATGCAAGATTTGGTATTCATATCAATTGCTAATCGTATTTGTCAGGTACTGACACCCTGACAAAATCAAATTGGTTTGTGCTGCAACTTAGGCAAGCCTGAACATGTCTTCATCACACTTGTCATCATACTTTTATTTATTTATTCTTTTTCCCGACAAGTCCTAACAACCCTGGCAATTAGTGATCACCTGACACCCCTGACATCCCTGACAACCCTGACACTCCTGACATCCCTGACACTCCTGACAACCCTGACACTCCTGACATCCCTGACATCCCTGACAACCCTGACACTCCTGACACTCCTGACAACCCTGACACTCCTGACATCCCTGACACTCCTGACACTCCTGACAACCCTGACATCCCTGACAACCCTGACACTCCTGACA